TGGGAAAAAATAGTACAAGAAACATGGTCAAAGATTTCAAAAAAAAACCATAACAAATACTTGTCTGAAGAAATAATCGTACAAATTCGAAATAATCCGAGAGTCTTATTTTTAGTCTATGGCAAGTAAAATTTTAATTATCAAAACGATTTTTGATTTGATCTTTAAGCCTGTAACGGCATCTAAATAATAATTGCAGGAACATATTTAAAGATATTGTATTATGATGAATTGTTTTTTCTATTTGGTCGAATTCGGGTTCTAATAGATCAACAATTCCATATAAGAAGGATTCATCCAATACACTATCCTTTGTAAAAGGTCTTTTATCAGTACGACAAATTTTAAACAATTGGAAAATGTTATTAATTAAATGGAAGAAAGAAATATCAGACAACAGGAATTTTCAGATTACATACAGTGGAATTAAACAAGAAGACTGCCTACCGGCCATTAGATCGCCTACAAAGGGTAAATGCAAACTTGATTATATATTTAGTTTCTATGTAATTAATTATTCAATTTGATCTAGAAAATCCTGTTTTATTGTATACGTCTTAAAAATGGAAGTTATCATTGTCATTATTTCTACTTTTGATAAACTGTGTAAAATCGTACCGGTAGTATTATATGGCTACAGAAATGCACAAAAAAATCAAATCGCAGAATTTAGTCCTAATTCCAAATATTATTATATACTAACGTTAGCGTTAGTGTTAGTATTTCTGTTTGCCCTAACGCCAACGCAAACGCCAACTCTGATTTAATTAATCAAATATGACTAGACACGATTTTAGTCATTCCCTTTATTAGTTAAATTTTGCCGATCCCTAACACATTAAATCGATAATAATAATAATAAAGGATAATCTTAAAAGAAAATAAAATCATTTCACGGGATTTTTACACTGATATATATTTAAAATTAGACTTTGAAACAAAAAAATTTGGAATAAAAAACCTTTTACCAACTTTTATTACTATGTGAAAAAAATACACATCCAAATAACCCACACAAATATAATACGAAATACATATAATACAATCAAAAGTAGGTATGCTTATAATAATAAAATTAGCAAAAATGTTAGAGCAAAAAAGCAAACCTGTAAAGAAAAAGAATTATGACTAAAATTAGTGTATATATAATAATAGCTTATTAGTTAATTTTAGTCTCAAGGTTACATTTTATTTTCTTCTTTCATCATAAGGAACTACTTGATTTGATAATTTTGACTGAGCAGTATAGCCACTATTTACTGTTTGATTAAAGTTTTGTTTATTAGTGCTTTTACTACTGCTACCTTGTACACCATGAGGATAAGAAGCTACTTGATTTGATAACCTCGAATGATCAACGTAACTATTATTTATAAAATAATTGTTCATTATTTGGTTATTTGCATCAGCATCTGGTTTTGATACAGGTGGTAAATCACTATAATTATTATATAATAGAGTATAATTTAATCTTTGAGATGCTTCTCCTCTAACATTATGCGCAGATTTTCGTCTAATTCTTTTTAATGTGTCTCTATTATTAGAATTTGGTATTACATTTTTTGATTCCTCTAAAGATTTGAATAAAGTATTAAGAGTCTTTGGTTGCGAATAAACATTATTTGACATTGGAGTAATAATATTATTTTGTTGTTGGCTATTAGGTACCGGAATAGAAGGAATCGGTGGTATTGGGGGTTCAGTTATATTGTCATGTAAGTTTGGTAATGATCTTGAATTATTATATGATAAATAAGGACCATTTGGCTGAATATTTGAAGGTTGATCTATCTTATATTGATTGTTTCCTTGATGTGCAGATTGCTGTGAAACCTGATAAGTTCCTGGATTATTGGGAATAGGTGGTAAAGGAAAGGATCGAGATTGAGGACAACTATCTGAGCGTTTATGACCAAGAGAGAATGGTACTTTGTTATGTGGTTGATATGATTGCAGAGGTTGCTGTGGCTGTTGAAAGCCTGATATAGATTCAGCTTGATTTAGAGTAGGTGGAAACATCATACCATTACCATTTAAAGGACGCATATCTGGTACATATTGAGGTATTTGCTGATAGTTTGTCAATCGTTGAGAAGGTAACGTCGTGTTGTGCTGATGAACAATTGGAAGCTTTGAGTTCGGAGGATTATTATATGATGTAAACGAGCGTACAGGCGGCAAACCCTGTAAGCCTTGTTTTGGTGGTATTGGAACAGTATGTTTGCGTGTTGAAACAGTATGTATTTGATCGAACCCCTGTGTACTTTGAGTAATCCTTGAGTTTCCTTGATTTTCTTGCATTCTTAA